CTCCCACCGACGCAGCCCCAGACAGTTTCTTTCGAAACTATCAGCCTTTTAATAAGAACTAATTAACGTGAAATAGAATAGTTCTTTTTGCGTTATAAATGCCACTCTGCCACTTTGATTACTGAGTGGTGAAACGAGAGTTTTTTCTTTTTAAAGAAGTGTAAACAAATATTTGTAAACAAGTATACTATCCAGCACACAGTACCTGTATGCAAACCTGTCATAAGCGGGGATTGTTAACTTGCTGTTTCAACAAATTTTGTGAATGTTTGAACAGAATTAATAGAATTCCCTCTATTAACTCTGGTTAGAACAAGGAAATGTATAAAACTAGAAAATAGATCCGCGAAATCCCATCTCAAGAGCACTAAAGAACTTGATAAATCGGTTCGACCATCATGTTTCGGTTATAAGTGCGGACAAAATGTTGAAAAAAATTTAGTGTCAAAAAGTGTTTATCCTCTCTTGGTACTAACTATGCTCGATCGTAACATTGAGCAATATCTGACATATTTATGGAAGTGTGAGGTACTTTTATTGAGAATTTGACTATACATTTTGGGCTTGGGCTGCCTTTGACATGAACAGACCCTATGTTTGTATCGGGTGTCACATGCCAAAGATTTCATCATGATTACAGCAACTTATGGTTGCAGCCGGTAACACAGAGCGCGCCACATACAGCTAGTATTTTCCGCCTTTGCCGTGGTTTCCTCTCTTGCTGTGTGCGCACGAGGAGAACGCGTGCGTGTTGGTAGATTAACCAATCGCTTAGTGGAGTTTCAAGTGGTTCAAATTACAAAAGAGGAATTCTGGCGGTCGACCAGAACCAAACTTGAAAGACCTCACGTCCCTCGTACGGTCACTGGAAAAAAGGCATGGCGATGACACCTCTTCGTTCAATCGTGCTTCTTCTGTTGTTTGCTCCGTGCATAGCCCAGGTAAGTCTTGATCTTTGCTAGTCAACATTCCTTACAGCTGCTCAATTTTTAGAGTTAAAGGTTAAAAATGCAATCGATCGACGCTTTCGCTTCTATGGGGCTGGTAGAGTCATTGCTTGGGATGTCGATTAGAGTTTATGTTGGCAGTATTCACAAAACCGTGTTTCAAAGATATCCGTTGACACTCTTGCCCGTCCAAGAAAGACATGTAAATGAAGAAAGAGTTTCAAGCAGCTCAGCTTTGAACAGATCATTAATATTCAGTTAATTTTTTGGCTTAAGGAATTTAATTCCGACGCAATGAAAGCAGTTTTATGTCGTGTCACGCGATGCCCGCTTGAAGAATAAATTTACGATTCATAAATTCCGCATCGTTAAACTTTCATTTGTTGGTGTTTTGAAGAGCTGTTAACATTAAAGGATTTGAACAATCAGTCTCGATTGGTGGAATTTAAATTCGATTCTATTTAGATCTGGTGGTAGTTGTAATCTAGGATAGCTCAATCTGAAAGTGGAAATTTCAGCAACACCCAGGGATATTCGTAACTTAACACCGCGTCACACAACGCGTGACGCTTTCATGATATAATAATTTTCTTTTTCTCGAGACGTGAGCTTGGGACACCTGTGGGGGGAAGTAAATTTGTTCCTCGGTCTGATTCATCCGACTTTGAGTTCAACACACAAGAGTCTTGTGTGACGAAAGCGATATCGCGATCATGTTAAGCTTGGTCCTTCAATAAAGCAAGACATTTACTTCTCTAGAGGGCAAGGCATTCAATTTCGCTGCTTTTGTTTCAGGAACATTTCACAAACCACACAAAGGGTTTCTGCATCTGGTATAATCAGTGTACCACTGGAGATAAACCACTTAACTGCTTCTACAATGGACCCGCCAAAAATTTAACTGATCCGGAAGGCGTGCAGATACTGAACAGTTTATGTCCTGAATTAACTGGTCAACGTACTTGTTGTTCGACCCAACAGCTGGTGGCGTTGCACAAGAACCTAAAAACGATGCTGGAGCTTACTAATCGTTGTCCTGCTTGCTGGAACAACATCAGGAGGCTGTACTGTCAGCTGACATGCAGTCAGGATCAGTCCCTTTTCACGAATCCCAATTCTTTCATTCCAGTGTCGGAAGGAAAAGAGGCCGTTCTTAGCGTAGAGTACTTCGTGTCATCCCAATTCAAACAAGGATTGTTCGAGTCCTGCAAGGACCTAACCCTTGAGGGTTACACTGACTTAAAATTGTTCTGCGGTACGATGGGGCGTTGGTGTACCACAAAAAGTCTGATCCATTATATGCAAAGCGCGGAAAGTGGACTGGCACCATACGCTTTTGATATCTACTTCCCTGACATATTACCTAGAAAACTGTCGTGGATGAACGAAACTACTTTCAAATGCAACAAGCCTTTTATCGATCCGCAATCGAACAAGACAACAAGTGTTTGCAGCTGTCAAGACTGTGTCGGCTCCTGCCCGAGGCGATCAGAACAGTTGATCATAACATCTACGCACCCCACCCCAGCAGGGTATCACAGGTATGGAGATGAGAAGTGGATTCCTTTTGGGCCAATTTTTCACTTGGATCTCTTAAACCAGGTATAGTTTCCTCCTTAGTGTATGAACTAAAGTAAATTTAAGCTGTTGCAATATTTTACATACTCACATGAATGTCTCAGATATTAGTCCCACAAGAAAATGAACATAATTCAGTCCGATTATCCCTCAGTAGGTGAAACTAGAGCTGCAACTTTTGTCGCTAAACTTTACATATTTATGCAAACAAACCTTCATCTTCATCTTTACATTTACAATTAATTTCTTATATAGGCGTTGGATCTTCAAGATGCTATTACGAAATTGAAAGTGTCGTTTGGGGATTCTAGCATTACCTTCGAGGACATTTGCTTTAAAACGAAGGGCCACCAACCTTTTGCTCCTAATACGACTGAACAATGCGAAATCCAAAGTGTGTTCCAGTATTTCCAGAATAACAAGACGAAGTTGAACAAATGCTTGACTAGCATGGGCTATAATTGTGACGAACCAAATATTACCGACTTCAGAGCTGCTGACTTCCACGATCATCTATTGACTTGCACGAGGTAAGAAATCCTGCGAGCAAATGCAAGTGCTTCTTTTTGAGCTCGACAAATCAAAACGCGCGATCCAGGGGTGTTTACCATTTGGCCAAAAACTTCGGAAATTTCGGTTTGAAGTCAAATGGTAAGGTAATTTTCCGGAAATTCCTTTCGGAAATTGTGGAGTACCTTCAGAGGTACTCCTCTTTTTCCATTCGGAACGGAAGGTCATAAAATTCCGTTTCCAGGCCTTTCCGCTTGGGTTGGAGCGGGACGAAACGCCTGATGGAAAAATGGTAAGCTCAATCTCATCCCGTTGGTCCATGAATTCGGAAACTCCCTTACCTTTATGCCACGGTTACACCAATCGGATTTTTCTTACAAATGGTAAGCACCCCAGGAGTCTCTGCTTTTCAAACCTCAAACAAATGGCTGCGGCTGATTCTAGTTCCCAGTCTTCTCTGCGCTCACGCCATTGCTCACGCCATTGCTCACGCCATTGCTCATGCCATTGCTCACGCCATTGCTCACGCCATTGCTCACTGCTCACGCCAGTAATTTGGTGCGCATGTCTCTTAAGGAACGGCCTCGTTCCGTTTTACCAAGACCCTTTCCGTAAAAGAGTTCCCCACAGATGTATTGCAGCTAATGTCCGACTTTACCCTACACATACTCAATATTATTGAGAAAGAGATCAGTATTGAAAGTTATAACTGAAATCAGATTGAAACAAATAGGGTTTTCTCAAACTTACTCGCTATCTCTAGTAGACTTGGAGTATTTCATGTAAAATTCAACGTTACTCCCACCCTACCGTTCCTATACTAGCTAACTAATTTTTTCTTTACGTATTAGATCTCCCTCGAGTTTAATGGATTACAGACTCAAAGAACCTTGCATCAGCGTGTTTGGAGGTGCTATAGACCCTAAACTTGTACTAGATGGCTTCCCCAACGATGCATATTAAAACGCAACAACCTTGATCATTACCTTTGCGGTAAATAATTACAAGGATGAAAGCAAGCTGGCAGAAGTAATTACTTGGGAAAAGGCTTTCAAGGAGTTCATGACACATTATGTAAATAACGCCTCACATGCCAATCTCACTATTTCATACTTTACGCCAGAAATGAGTTGTAATGACGTTGAGGTCCAGTTTGACTTATGGGCTTAGTCCGTTTCATAAATCGCTATGATTATTACGAACAGGGCGTAGCTATTTTTTTTTTTTTTTAAGGGAACTTGTCCGTAGGGGTATGAAAACGCGAATGACCGTGTGCCGATTAGCTTTGGATTGACAGCTGATTGGTTGTTAATTGGTTTAATATAGTTCTTTTTACGTAAGTCATGCTATGGGGTTTTGGGTTTGGGGGTGAAATTCAATTAAAAATCACTCACTCACTTTGTTAGACATTCATTCGTGCATTAAACCAGGATTAAACACATTTTCTCCCTCTCCCCGACAAGTTTACGTGTTCAAATTCACGGCGTACGTATATTTGGGGGGTGGTACAAAGGCGAGAATTATGCCGCACTACTTGGACAGATTCAAAATGGCTTCCTGTCCCTTGAAGCGTGATGGTTTTTTTTATTCCAAACTTGATCAAAACATACCTTTGTGGAACCAAAAATGGAAAGGAAATATGCTACAGAATACTCGACTGCAGAGAAATGGGCGTCTGAGTCCTTAAAGTGACGATAACATGAACGATTCGTGCGTGGAGACCCAAACGCCGCGAATATGTAGTGAGCTTAATCTTACTGCAAATTAGTTAGCGTGAAACTTCGTTGATTTTATCTTGTAGCTGCCGGCATCTTAACTAATTCTTCACACATTCGCAATTTAAGACAATTTTTCTCCATCAAAACGCTTACAAACACAATAATTGTGCTAGCACGTGTTGCCCACGTTCAAAAAAACTTTCCAAAGAAAGCCAGATCGCAGGTTACGTCAAGGGCGCCAAAAATGCATATCATGAGGTTGCTCTAAGGAGCCTTTGATTTCGTTACCCATGCCACTCTGTTAGGCTTTTTTGGATTATTAAGTAGTAACACGAGATTTCTTTCAGAGGAGTGTAAACAAATACTTGTAACCTAGTATACTATCCCAACCTCATTCCTAGGGCCTTTTCCCTTAATTGGGAAAAAGGCCCTGGGAATGAGGTTGCTATTTTCCAGCACACACTCACTGCAGGGCTCGACACTAACTTTTCAACTTACTAGCCGAGTGGCAGACCTTTCAACCTCAAAACACCAAAAATCTGGAGACTGATGTTAAAAAATCTGAAGATTTCAGTAAAAATCTGGAGATTGGTCGACCGGCAGACAAAACCAAGTTAACACAGGTTCTTAAATTTTAAGAGAAAGTGTTTTTTGTCCTGCTCATAAATTACTTAAACATGTGTGGACCTTAACAACACACAAATAAACTTTAAATATAACATTCATCAGGTTGATCAATTGCTGCCATTTTGATAACGTGTCGTGTCAAAATGCGAGAGATTGGTTATGATGACCTAACTTGGAACAGGTGTTCTATATATGGTCATGGACGACTTACGGTGTTTCCAGCAAACAGACGGATGAAGAACGTAACAGCTTGGTTTGTTGTGGATTTGCACAGAATTGGCAGAAAAAAAACTCACCTCTAGCAAGCGAAAAATGAAATTATACAAAAAATTTATCCTTTCAGCTTTCGCCTCTATCGTGAGATTTGTCTGTCTCGTCGTGAGACCGTGAGATTGAACTGAAAATCGTGAGTCTCACGACAAAATCGTGAGACTTAGAGGTCTGAAGTGGCCAGTAACAACTGTTAAAACAATTTTATTTTGTTCATTAGCCAAAGTGGCAAGTGGAAATCGAAAACCAAAGTACAAAGAAATGTGTAGAAAATAAATTGATCCGCGAATTCCCATTTTTAAAGTTAAAGAACTCAGTACATAAATCGGTTCACCATCATGTTTTAAGGTTAGAAATGTGGACAAACTGTTGAATAAAATCAGTGTCAAAGAGTGTTCATCCTCTCTAGGTGTACAATAAAGTGCACGATCACATCAGCGAGCAATATTTGCCTTATTGGACAGTACACATCTTTGGATAGGAGATTTTAGCGCTCAGTTCTTCGTTATTGAATGTGGCGTGACCAGCCTCTTCCACACTTGTTTTGTTACGTCACGCCTTTATCCTCTGGTGGGGAACTGCTGCACAACGTCTGAAACACGGAAGGTTTGCAACAGCATTCATTTCATAATTTCATAAACCTATTCCCACGATGCGACCAGAGAAATTTCAGCACACAATATGACATCATCCAAAAAAAGAAAAATTTAAAATCATTTTGTTCGGAGTAAGATTAGCACGAGTTAGGTGCAGTTTGAAGCGATTTGTAAGTTGCTAATGAAATAACTGAGTGTTGCTTAAAACTTACTTATGAAGCATACCCTGTCATCCTGCTGGTGAGTATTAATTTCTCAATTTTCAGAACGCAGAACGCACGCTTTGATTGCGTTATGATGTAACGCAGTGTTCTGTTTACATTCCTTACATTGGTTCTCCTGTTTCGCGCGCTTTTTTTACCATTTGCTTATTAGCCAATCAGCAGCAAATCAAAAGCGTTCAAACGTACTGCATGCTGGGGAGTTTCAATAGAACCTTTCAGAAGTATTCTTCTCTGGATTTGAACGAATAGTGATTGAGAATCCTGTGAAAGGTTATACCTCTATCTGATGAAGACAGATCTTTGTAGTCAAAGAGAAGATTCGATGCCAGACGGCGTTTGATGTAGGTTCGATCTATATGGGGTCTTTTAGTTGTTCAAAGAAAATTTAAGTCGGCTCACCGTATCACCATCACAAGAAATTTTCTACATCACAGTAATGGCCTCTGCTATTTCGAATGAGGAGTTTGATAACTCAGGCGAGGCAAGTGAAATATAAGTTTCAGTTTCGTAAATTTCAATATGTTTTATCAGTGTAGTTTCTTATACCTTCGCACTTCGCACTGTTCATAGTATAAATTTTGATGTATTAAAAAGGAAATTGATCGAAAACATTTTTATTATGCTTGAGTTTTTACTCAAGTCCTGATTCTAAATATAAGTAGTTCTATCAAGTACTGCAAAGTGAGTTTTATGCACGTTGCTGTAAGCATTTGTGTTGCTTAAAACGGTAAACTCTGAACGTTCACAGGGATGTGTCACCATAGTGCTATGTAATCGGAGATGTGTGATACAAATGAGATGGAGGTCTTTTTATCATGAGTCTTCATTACTTCATTAAGTCTATTCATAACTGAACCTTCAAATTTCTTCTGCCGCGTTGAATTTTAAAGGAAATGATGGAGAAAGCAAGCGGGGATTTTATAGGCTGCTTCTTGTGCGAGAACAATACTGCGGACAGCTCAGGTAATGAGTGAAATCAGAATTTTGTTTGAGACATATTCCTAACCTAACATTGCCTAATGCTTAAATTAAACGACTTTGTTATTTCTCTCAATAGAGAATCCACTTCGTGTTTGGTTATCTATGGATACAAACGTCAAACAGAAGCACTTAAAGCATTTGAAGAACAGTATTTTGGCTCCCATCTTATTTGGAAAACGAATGTATTATTCTTCAAAGGTAATAAATGGTTGTATGGCACAAAATTCAGACCAAAATATGAGATATTTGTTTTTCTTTTTATGTTGGGGTGTATTTCTACTTAAATCCAGTCAATGTTCTTTTTCCTTTTTTTAATCATCAGAACATAAGATTGTTACACCACTTGAGAATAATACCAAAAACAAGCTTTGAAAGGTAAACTAAATGTTTAACCCAAAACCCACAACCTCCCCAATCTACTTTGGAAGAGGGCTCAGGGGTTGACACTAACTTTTCAACTTACTAGTCAAGTGGCAAGTGACATCTTAGATGTTATCCCAATTTCAGTTTGTTTACTAGCCAAACTAGTCTCCTTCACAGCCGTTGTTTGGGCTCGTCATGCAGGGGAGGGAGCGTTGTGTGAGGAGCCCAAACAATGGCTGCGAAGGAGACTATAGCCAAACTGGCTGATGAAAATTAAAAAAACCACTCACCAAAATTGAATTTCTGCTACTGACTGGCTACTGTTAGTGTTGAGTCCTGGGGCTTATGCTTAATGTGTCAGCTTTTCAAAATTCTTTATGGTGGTTTTCTTACCTTTATCAACTTATGGTTTATAAAGAACTATTTTTTTCAATTGCCTGCTGATACTGTTATGGAGCTTCTCTAGAGCTTCTCTAAAGACTTGCAGCCTTAATCTAATATTTTGCATACACTGGTTAACCCTTTCACATCCAAGACCTGAAGCTAATGCCTCTAACTTTTATCATACATTTGATTTTGGCTAGTCCTAATAATTTTGTGAGGTATCCAAATAATATCTCATGTTTGATGATTTTAGTTAATTCTCTTCGCTTGTCTTCTTATTGTATCTCTGTAGAATTCCCTCTTTGGGAACAATATTATCTAACAAAAAAATTGACACTGTGGAATTAATTGAGGAAATTGTGGACATCATTTTCTCCTGCTTGGTAAGGAAATGGTTGCTTTTTGAAAAAGTTGTTTTTTCATATTAATCCCAGCACCTTTCAATAACATGGTGAGGCTCAGAGCCAAAATTGTATTTTCCTTTTATGCTACCACCAATCATTGTGAAAACAGTCCTTTAAAAGCAGAAACAAAGAAAATGGGGTTGAAATCCTGCAGTGATATCTGTCATAATTCAGGAACATGTCTTTTCTTGTAAAAGTCAATTTCAAAGTTTCACATCTCAGTACAGTAACTATAGTTCTGGTCCGGGTTCATCCTCGGAGACCCAGGGGCTGTGAGTTGATTTCAAGTTACGGTGGAAGAGCCCCTGGGGACGTTGTCTTACAAGACTAGTTCCAAACAGCTGCAGTTGTTCTGGCATCTGATTGGTGTCAGAAAATCTTTGTGCTTTTCTGCCTAATCAGAGTGAAGTGGGCTTTAGAGTCCTTTTGTGTGTTTTAACACGGACATATACATGAAGCTCAGTTGCTTTCCATGTTTGTTTGGGCCATGTGATGGAGCTTTGCTTGAGGTGAAAAGTTTGAGTCTCAGCACACAATGCAACAGAAATCGATCAGATTGTCTGCAAAAATCTTACCAGAAATTATACTGAATACTTTTGCAGGTATCATAAGAGAATGTGTTTAAAGGTTTGTGAGGTTCATATGAGACATAATGATTGCAGGCATTAATATGTTGCATTAAATGTTCGATGAGATGTAAAGTTAAATCTTTCTTGGTTTTTTGTATAATTAGCTGCGACTGAAACTTTGCCAGTCCCGTGAAGTTATTTTGTCACACGGGCAACGCAGGTATGCTGAGTAACTGACACTTACACAGCTCTGCGGGCCAAAATCTAAGCTCTTTTGGCTAGTTGTGTAGGTAAGGTTCAATTTCAGCAAAAGAAGGGCTTTCGAATCCCATTTCAAATTTTGCCAATAACGCCCAAGCCACTATCCTTGGTATTGTCATACCAACAAAGAGGCTTCGGTAAAAATTTCCCTTGGGCAGAGTACCCAAACAAGAAAATCAAATTGTTGCTGTTTCCCAGTTTCTACTGAAGGAACTTTTGTCAAGGTATGCACAGATGCAATACAACCTATGTTGAAAAAGAAAAGCTAAGTGTGGAAACTTTTGTTTATTAGATGTGGATAGATGATCCTGTACTAAGCTGACATTTACAATAAAGCAAACCCACCCTTTCCATCCAATATTTCTTGGTCTTTGGTTTTGTTTTCCCCAATGAAAGCAGCATCGATTCCCAATTTGATCTGAGGTATTTAACTTGGTCTTCAACAATCGACAAAAGAAGTGAAATGACAATGACCAAGGGACTGGAAGAGAATCCGTGGCCTTTCAAGCTCAAGAATTTGAACACTCTAGGCAGCAGTTGAAAGATTAAGCTCTTTCCATACCCCGTCAGTAACTGTCCAAAAACATCTCTCCTTCCGAAAATGTTCTTGATAATTAGTTTTTGTTCAGATGATTCACCAACCCGAAACACAGCTAAGCTTTCTATAAGTGCTTGCTGGAGGTCATCCATGAACATAATGTTCTTTGCAACCTTGGGCATATTGTGAAAGACTTTACTACAAAGCAAAGATTAGATTTTGGGGCGCAGAGAAAGGTACGTAAGCTTAAGGGCCAGTTGCTCGACATACCTCTCTGGCCCATGCGACGAAAAAACTTCACGGGATTGGGAAAGTTTCAGTCACAGCAAATTATACAAAAAATCTAGAAAGATTTAAGTTTACATCTCGTTGAATGTTTAAAGCGACATATTAGCGCCTGCAAGCATTATGTTTTATTGGAACTCGCAAACTTTTAAACACGTTCTCTTGTGATACCTGCAAAAGTTTTCAGTATAATTTCCCGTAAGATTTTTGCAGACAATCTGATCAATTTCTCTTGCATTGTGTGCTGAGACTGAAACTTTCCACCTCGAGCAAAGCTCCATTGTACGGCCCAAACAAACATGGCGAGCAACTGAGCTTCATGTATATGTCCGTGTTAAAACACACGAAAGGACTCTAAAGCACACTTCACTCTGATTGGGCAGAAAAACACAAAGAACGAACCAACCAGAACGACTGCGACCGTTTGGAACTAGTCTTGTAAGACAATGTCCCCAGGGGCTCTTCTGCCCTAGCTTAAAATCGACTCACAGCCCCTGGGTCTCTGAGGATGGTCCCGGTTATTTGAAGGTTCGATAAAGCTATCTAATGGATAAATCTTTATTATATAGATACTGATGAAATACCAGGATTTTCCCCTTTACTAAAAAATAATATCTTCATCGTGCACAGTGAAGATACTATTTTTATCTTTCATGTGTGAGGATATTGTTGTCGCCATGGTTGCCAACATGATTAGCCAATTGCAAGAGAGCTTCCTGCTCAGGCACCTGTGCGTTTTATGTGGAAATTTCATCAATAACTATAAAATAAACAGAACATTACATGGCCTGTTAGGGATTCAAATTTTATCTTCTTGTGCTGAAAGTATCTTTTACTAATTTGCTTCACTCACTCATGAGAGATACAGCACCAAGATAAAATTCATATCCCTGTGGGGCCACATCCCCTACATCTGCTGAATAGGGCAGTATGTTCTGTTAACACTTATCTGCTTGATAGCGATTCATCCATTGGATAGTATTATTTGCATTTTCAACAACTGGGCCCTGGTTTTAATGAAAAGCAAAGTAGGCAAGCTTTCCATCAATTTAAGATATTCTTTTGACATTTTCATTTAAGTCTCTTCAAGGTAATTACCAGTTTGCCAATATTAGCTTTGATTTGGGACTCTTTTAGCAGTCACCTTGAGACAACCTAGATGCCCTTATTTCATTGTCTGTGTGTATACCTTGTAGGGTTCAGATGAGTTTTTACACAGTGCTTATCATACTTACCAAGAACTGCAAGGTGTAAGTGAACACTTATTGTGCAGTAATTATTTGGTGCCTTTTTGTTAGAAAGTCTAACCACAAACAGAAAATTTTGAAACTGTCATCTTGTTTACAATAACCAGTTTAGTCAGTACAATTTTCTAATGGAATTATATATTTATTGCTCACTGTTTATGCTGTGTATTTGTTATCATATTCTAATTTAATATATAATTGTTTTTATTGTTATAAAGTGTTCTGCTGTAGAGGATGCCCTTTCTGTTGGAAAGAAAAGTGAATTTGTTGCACTTGTGAGGTAGGTCAATCCACTTTGAACTTTTTGAGGAATTACATTTCTGGCATTGTTTTCAGTATTTCATTCACACTAACATGAAAATGTTCCTTAACTATATTTTAAGATCTGCGTTTTCTTGCTCCACAGTTGTAGTTATGATGGCGATCATCGTTTAATTAAACAAGGAATTGTGCTTCTCTCACTCACAGTTCTTCATGAAGGTAAGCACATTCACTGTAGCATAAATGTTTCAATTGAAAGTGAAAGAACTTTACTCAAGTTATTCCGAGTTATCTAGTTTTTAGCCCTCTTAGAGTCAAGCCAGGTGAGAGAGAGATTATTTTGATTATGAATCAATTGACAGGGGAATAGTGCGAACAAAACATCAAGCCATCAAAATTTAGCCTTAGAATTCTCAGATGCTTAACAAGCATCCTGAAGAGAGGTTGAAAGTGGCTGGAAAGAGGTGGGGGCATTCGTATCTTTCACTGTTTAGTGTAACCACTTTTTCAAAATGGGTCAATTTGGCTAGTGACCAAATGCACTGGGGTTCAAGAGACTTTTTAAGAGTCACAATCTGTAGCAACATAGTGCTTCAATCAATGTAAACAACATCTGGATGACAGAATCCATACAGGAAAAGAGTGTTTCTTTGTTATTGTTAGTAGTAGTTAAGGCATTTTATGTATATTTCAGTTATGAAATACATATGTCAGACTTGCAAACCTTGTGACTATTTGACAAAGTTTGAGGAAGAGATAGCCAAGAAGGAGCAGGTGAGTGTCACTTGGCAAATGTATGGGTAGTTTTTTTCCAGGACACATTAATGGTTTTGCTTTTTCCTCACCAAAATGTTTCGGAGTTTTAAGTCTACATGCAAGACTAATTTGCATACAAACACTCCTCCTGGGTGGGGCTGTTGAAGGTTATATGGAGTGTTTTGTGACAATTAAACTTTAACTCCCAGAAATGATTAACTAGTAACTTCTCCCTGTTGTATCCATACATTATTCAGCAAACAGGCCATGAGAATACTACAACTTATTACTAGGCAATTGTCATCTTGATCTAAAACCAAATTCTTGCAACTTATTTACAAGGAAATGTGCAACAGCTTGAGAGGAAAATTAATAATCAGTTCTTGGGAGTTAAAGGCTAAAATGTTTGGAAAAAAGGCTTGTTAAAGGGTAGAGTGTCTGCCCTACCCCACTGCCCCCAAAAATCAACAACAACAACAACAATATGATGATCCAGGCTACAGCTTCACCCTTCAGGATCTTTTCATTTGGATTTCTACTACAGAAGTCTTTTAAGGTCAGAGCTCAGAATGTATGCTGAGGTGTGCTGTATATGATGTTCACTGAAGAAACTTTCTATAAATGTGCTGATGTGCATTTTGTTTATCCATGAACAGACTTGTAGAGGGCTAAGACTGAAAGGAAATGATCACTTTGCTGCAGGTGATTACCACATGGCTGTAGCATTTTATTCTCAGGCAGTTCTGTTAAGGTAAATTTTTTAACTGTTGTCCATATGAGTGTTTAGAGGTATTTGCTTTGGGTTTTCTACATTTTCATTCATTCTGCTGTGACTAACGGATTCTAACTTCTGAGTTGTAGTTCATTGTAAGTTGTGCAATTTGTATAGGTAATAAATGATTTTGAGTACAATTTGGGATAAATCAACTTGACTAATTTTTTCAAAGGGTAACAAAGTCTCATAAGAGAGTGCAATTAAGTGCCGATTTATCCCAAATTTCATGAGAAAAATCATATGATTACTTGTTAATAATGTACAAGCAAAAATATGACTCTGTTTTCCTCTTTAATTGATTTAATTTAATCTGTGTCATGACTCACTGGTTCTGCATTTTGCAAGTGCTTTGTTGATAGGGTAGTCAGGCTTTTCCCTCAAGAACTTCCTTCAAGCTTTTAAACTCTCTATCATGAATAATGGAGCGTGTAAAGTCTTTCTCTGTTAGACATTGTTTGACAGCAGTAACCATTACATGGAAGTTATCACACGCATAATCTTTGTAAATGTCCTTCTTATGAACTATTGTGTGAGAGTTCTGTTCTGGGCCTCCATTTCATACTTTTATAGCCATTTTAAGTTGTAATTGTTAGACTTCTAGACTTTTATCCAGTTGTTTGTGCTTTGTTGGGTGTTTTTGTTCTTCTCATTCTTCCCAAAACTCTGAATTAAAACGTTACTAATTTCTTCTAACCGGTCAGCCATTTTGTTTTGTAAGCTACTTTTAATTTGTGACTTTCCTGTAAATCAGTAGCCCATTTCCGAATTACCCTTCGCCTCTTTTTCAAAACGACGCCTGGTGCTCAACCATTCTTGTGAAAATGAGTTTAATTTGCATGTGAATTAAAACTTATTATCTTAGGAAAGGATGAGCACCAGGACTCGTTTTGAAAATGAGGCCAAGGGTAATTCGGAAATGGGCTATTGTATTTCAACTTTTTGCACCCAATTTCAACTTTCTGCACTCAATTTCAACTTTCTGCACTCAATTTCAACTTTCTGCACTCATTCCTTACCTTGATCTGGGCTACTGTCAGTAAATGGAATGTTTCAATCTATTGCCAAGAGGAGAGTACATGTAACATTTTTTGGTGTGGTATAAAGTGGCCGTCATATGAGAGAGGGAAATAGTTTACATAAAAACTTGATGTGAATTTGTTAAAGTCTCTATTCACCCCAAGAGGTTTAGATATATTTCCATTCTTTGCATTATCAGGATTAATCTAAAAAAAAAATTTTTGATTGATTAAATATTCCCCGAGATATGCCGCCTCAGAATTTGTCCTTTGGGCACGCCCTTTTGATTTGGCTGGGTGAAGTTAATACTGGTAACTAAAAGTCTCTTGTGATGTCACAGCAAGAACGTCTTTCGATCGATGTCCCTATATTCACGGTATTTTATGGAGGAATATGTCTTTCGATGAATCCGGCCCTGGCCGGACCAACACTCAGGGTCTTAAAATAATTGAGAAGAATTCGCTACCTTTCTATAACATCAAGAAGTAGTTAGATATTCTAGTCTTCTCGGATAGGGAGGAATAAATGGAGATCCTGTCTCCTGCAGGGTTAGGGGTAGGAGACATTAATTTCCCACACAAGATTACTGTGTGATGGATGTCCTCCCCTGGGGTGGAATGGGTGGGATATTGTGTGCATTTAATTTGGAGCCTCGCTCTGTTATGCGACCCTCACCACACTCTGGTGAAAGTGATTAAATAAATAAATAAATGAATCTGGTGTATTTGAGCAACCAGCGACCATGCAATGAGTTTTTCACATCATTTTACAGCAGTAGACACATGTTCTTATATAAGAAGTTAACATTCGTTCTTGTGGTGATGTCACTGAGAGGTAGTAGGTGGGAGACTTGGCCCAGTAATTCTCTCCCGGCCTGAAGTCAAAAGGGTGTGGAGTAACTTTGAGGAGATATATCTCGGGAAATATTTAATCAATCGCAAAAATTTTTTTGGAAATTAATCCTGTTAACACAAAGAATCAAAATATATATAAACCTCAGGGGGTGAATAGGCACTTTAAAAGGTTTGCAATATTTTCAACTCGTATTTTGATTGCCTTGTAGAGTTGCTTGCCACACATTATCCAGTAAATTAGTTACAATAATTTAGTGTTAGATCAAGATAACAACTTCTGCCTGACAAGTTTGAATAATCTCATTACCGTTTTGCTGGGTAAATGTATGGATATCATGGGGAGAGGTTACATTTTAATCACTTCTGGGAGTTAAGCAACTGCACAAAAGAAGCTTGAAAAATGTCAGATACTAGTTGGGCACAATCAACTGAGTTTTGAAGCCACATGTTTGGAGTGAGGCAAATTTGCCATTATGCACATAATACCAGTACTCATGCCAATGTGATTCAGAACTAACTTATTAAAAAAGTGTTTCCCAATGAATTTTGAATTCTTACATCCACAGTCCATTTAATCATTTGCTGTATGGCAACAGAGCACAAAGTTACCTCAAGCTGAAGCACTTACGGTAATTGATAAGATTAGATTCCTTACCTTGATCTGGGCTACTGTCAGTAAATGGAATGTTTCAATCTATTGCTAAGAGGAGAGTACATGTAACATTTTTTGGTGTGGTATAAAGTGGCCGTCATATGAGAGAGGGAAATA